AACTCAAGTCATGTTCTTAAAGCGCCACATCAGATCGAGACTTTCATATTGATGTTATGCATAGTGCCAAACCTATTCAGAAATATCTAAACTGTCAGCTATGTACAACTGCTTTCTAAGATCAATGGTTAACAATGGGTTTTGAAGAGTGAAGCCTTGGCAAAGACCATCCTTCTTTGGACATTGTAGACTGGCGCTACAAAATCACAAAAATAAAAAAAAATGTACAGAAACCACGTCACCAGCAACAACTAAAATGGATAACACATGTAACTCAAAGAGAAAATAATGACACGATCAAAATGTTGACATTCCACACTACTTCAAATAAAACGTTAAGAAAGAAACTCCTATCAATTCTGGAAAGAGCGATAACAGCTACTGGAATTGAGAAAACCATTTTCCTAAAAAATTCTTTTAAGAGAAATATTTTATAAATTACAGCTGAAAACAGCACTGGCTGCTCGATCAATGAATGCCAAATGTTTCCTTGTAGGGGTCCTGGGTATGACGATAAACTACATCCGGCAGCAAGGCCTCTGATTGGAACCACCTCTTAATTGCGATTGTTTCCAACCTGACCCAAGGGGGGTAGCACATGTTAGGGTCCCATCTATGGGCAAATAGTGAGCTTCCAAACAAAAACAAAACACTATAAAATTTTGAAAAAAAATTTTTATAGTAAAAATATCCACAAAACAATTCTATATAAAAACTTACCAACAATACCTACTTATCGTAGAATGACCAGCATGAAAGAATTCTTTCATGACATTAATACTTATATCCTAAAATTTCTTAAATCAAACTGTATTCCAAAATGTAACTACAACAAAACTACAACATAAAACACACATCACCGCCTCTAGTAATTATTTTCACACAATCATGTATATGCACAAAAGCTGAGTATCATCTTTGGAAGATGGAAGGTTACTGAATAGAATAATCAAACGAAGGTTGGTAACAAGCGATAATACTTAGAAAAAGAACAATACATATAAGATTCACCATCGGCGTGTAAAAGTAGTCAACTGCTAGAAGTGAGTCAAGTGAACTCCACAATGAATTTCCAACTGCAGGATATCTACCAACCACCCCACGCGGTTAGATGTGGCACAAGGCCGAATTTAATGTGGCGTATCTGAGCCAAAAATTCCCTGTAGACCCCGTATAAAACGGCGTCAGGTAGCTGTTTCCCGAGACGAGACTCTACCCTTCGACATAGCCTCATCTGGGGATCCTCCTCTGCTCGGAGGTAGAGTTCGACCAGAACAGCTGGAGACGAATCTCTAACTGCAGGATATCTGCCAACACCCACACACGCCCAGAATGTGACACAAGGCCGAATTTAATGTGGGGTATGTGAGTCCGTAGGCTCGATCAAAAATTCCCCGTATAAATGTGGGTCGGGTAGCTGTTTCCCAAGACGAGACTCTGCCCTTCGACATAGCCTCGTCTGGGGATTTTCTATGCCCGTAGGCAGAGAGTTTGACTAACACAGCTGGACACGAATCTCCAAATGCAGACCAGCACGTAGTATTTACTACTGTATTTATGTGAATGGGGACATACCCATTATCGTTCGTAGTTATGCTACAATAATCTACCATGTATTCAATTGTGAAAGCAGAATAACATATATATTTTTATTTCTTCCAAGCTCCCAAGAAAATTCCGGCATTATATGACCCATAAGCAATTGATATGCCCTTAAACAAACAAATCGATCAATCAATCCTTATAGGAAAACGGTTAAATAATATCGTTACCATTTGATGGGGCTAAGATGATGTAGAAACTGTCCGTAATGATTATTGTCCCAATCGTTTTTGGTCAATTCATTATCCATTTTCAAGGGTTTCGATGTTATGTTTTCTACCTTTGTGTTCTAAGTTGTATTGTGTAGAGATAGTAGTAACTCTATGCAGTGTGAGAATAAATATAGTTGTGATTCCATGTTAGGGGTGCCTTTTAAAAGACCACCAACACGTTACTACCATTGTTAAATAGGGTAAGGTTGAGGTTTGTCTTGAAATGTTTATATAAAGAGCTTTCATTATCTTAAAACATCACCAACAATTAGATTTATTAGAAATATGGCACTAACAACAAAAGTCTTCCGAGAATGAATCGACATAGCACAAACACCAGACGAAACCAGGCCAGATCTACTTATCTCGTATTGGACAAGACAGCCACCAGTGAGTCTACAGCCGAAAACCGCAGACTCACCTTCATCTTCCTCAATCTTTTTTCGCGAATTCAAGTCCAAGATATCCTCAATATTTTGCCGTCATCAATTGGCTAATCCTAATTTTATTATGATATACTTGACTTGCAAGATAAACCCTAAGATAGTGTATGATGAAACTCTTTCAGAGAAGAATCAGACGAATAATTCGAACAAGTACTGTTTCCAGTTAGTTTTTCGTCGATTGCTACATTGAATTATTCTGTCTTGAATTAGTTAAAGAATATATACTACAAGGATAACGCTAAACTGACCATATGTTTGTTCGATGACTATGTAGGCGTACGGCCACATCCCGTTGAAACACCGTACGATAACAGAAGTTAAGCAACATCGAGCCTGTTCAGTACCTAAATGGGTAACCGCCTGGAAATACCAGGTCTTGTAATACCAACTCTTCTCCCCTGCTATGTAAGTCTTGTATCACTAAACCTTTATTCTCTCAAAATCTAAAATATTTTCTGTATTTAAATTATCCTCAAAGGGTTGATAAGCTGTAAAATACAAATCAATCATGACTATGTAAATTTTTTTACATCTTAGTTGGGATCTGTCTATATTTCTTAGATGAGTTATTACGTACATTATTTACATTATTCGGACTATTGTTCTCATCTTTGTCGCCATATTTATTACAACATTTCGGCCGTTGTACGCTCCGATCTTCTTCAGGTGGTTGGAATGTCGAACTGAACCCTTTATTTCGCTCACTGGGGTAGACTGTTCTAGTTCCACGTGCCATGTTTAATGAATGTCAGTTATCTCCTGTTAATTTTCCCTCTGAAAGTTCTCCACTGCCTTAACCGGGTATTGAACTCACACTCTTTGAATCCTGTCACTGGATCTAACCAACGCCTTTATCGACTCTGGCATGTGTCTTAGTTAGCATAATTTCACTCATCTGCCATATTTACGACTTATTTTTAGTATTTACAGAATTCTCTTCATTAAAAGGAATGTAAAATTCTCTTAGTATTGTTCTTTACTGCATAAAAAGTTCTGGGTATATGAAATTATGAAATTGGCTAAAAGACGGCAGAAGATTGAGAAACAAAACAGAAAATATGTCGTTGAATAATGTCTACAATAAAAAGGTTGTCATTTCACCTTTTATTTAATAAGTAATTTTTTGATTTACTCGGTAATATTACCAATTTATCTCCATATATAAAACAGAGAATGTCTGTGTGTCGGTTTTTTATCATTTCACTTGAGATCCATCCAACCAATTTTGACCAAACTTGGAACATACATTGTACATAGTAAGAGATAGGTTCTTAGCGTAAAAAATCGATAATTAAAAAAAAAAAACAATAAAGCAGATCAAAAATTGATAAATTCAACTTTTTTTCTCCGATTTCTTTCAAACTCGCAATGTAGGTTACTTACATGATGATGAGCTCAACGATACCTTATTTTTATTTCTACGCCACCGCGTTTAGCGAAAAACCGCTAAAAACGAAAAATCGATTTCCACACAAATTTTAAAATAAAAACGTCCTCATTTTTCAAGCAATCTGATACAAATTTCACTCAATTGTAGCCAACAATAAGTTGATTGTTTAATTGTCCTTTGAGTCCACCCATATCGTCAAAACCCACGTAAAGAGCGAAAAATGGCGATTTTTACTGGTTTCTTTCTTATTTTTCGTTAATCTTTCAACCAATTTTCATCAAACTTAACAATTGCTTTATAAATGTATCTTCTTTACATCCCTGGTAGCAAACGGACAAATTGAATTTCAAAAACTATAAAATAGTTGTGGTCTGAAGTGGGACTTCATGTTGACTGTTTTACCGCTTCATGTCCTCGGATAACTTCCATTGAATAAATACGGATTACTTCTGTTATATCAGTAACTGCATTAATTGAAAATGCTCTTTAATGAAAGTACTTCAAAGTAATTGAATAAGATAGACTCTGTTACATTTAAACATGATGCTTTTTTTTTGCTCCATTCTAATTGAACGCTTTTTCTGATCAACTAGCTGGTTATGGCTGCTAGTCTAAAAATAAGCAAAGCCTCTTACAGTCGTCATTTATTGGATAAATTCAAAACTCCTATTAATTACTAAAACAAAATGTACTTCGAAACAGTTGCTTAATAAACTGAACGATCTTTTCGACCACCAATAACCATCAAACATATCTTACAGGACTGAATAAGGCGTTTACTACACACGTCCCAGCCATGTTACGCCACTGCATTGTTACGAAGTATTTTTTTTAAGAATGTCATTGGGGAAAAATAACTTTCAAGATTCCCAAAACACTTGTTCACTTCGTGCAAAAATAATCCCATTAAGGGACGTTAAATCAAACGGTTTCACTTAGGATTAAAACTAGTCTTTGATAGTGACTTATATGGACTTCCAAAATTCACTTTGAAAATGAAAATATCTATTAAACGCATATAATCCGAAATTGACACCAGATGTGATCAAAAACTAATAAAAATAAGAATTTAAGAAGTATAAATGCATACAGCTTATGTAAAGGGTCATTCTATTTTTATCCTTTCAGATTCTTGTGTTCTACAACCCTTTTGCAGGATTCTTAAAATGCCCTTTTTGGTACTGAGCCATTTTCGCTCTAACGCCATTCCATAAGCAATGTCCGAAATTTCATAGTTATTGAATATTCCCGTCATTTTAAAATACTGAAAAGGCAAAAATAAATTGTAGGCAAAAAACTATAGCATCTATTTTTACTGAATGTCGGTAAGATTCGAGAGTTCTTATACCCTTACGGCCATATCACGCTGAAACACCGTATCCCGACCGAGCACTGAAGTTAAGCAACGTTTGTACTTAGATGGGTAACAGTGTAGGAATACCAGCTGTTGTAGGCTCGGAGGTGTTTGGTGATGTAATGGATAGCGGCTCAGAATGAGAAATCGGAGAGCACTGTCGATTACAGTCGAGTTCGATACATTCGCTTACGCGCAAATACCATTGGAAAAGGTATGGATCCATCTCCTCTATCTCCACCATAGGGTTAAATAGCAGAACTTGTCACTAGAAAACAAAAACAAAACAAAAAAAACATGGTAAAGTTTCTTTCCCAGATGCCCTGAGCCAGCACGAAAGAGGAAGGCTCAACAAAAACTACATAACAGTGCCAAACGAACACTGGAGAGTCACGTGAGTGCACCTTCTGCCGTAGATGGAGATTGTGTTTTACGATGATTCCTTTCCTCAGGCAAAGATTTAAATTGATTTAATTTTAAAGTTTAAATGCAAAAATACAATACAGAGTTTGAACTGAAAATGATTCAGAATTCTCAGAAAAAGAAGAATAAAGGAGGAGGAGTTTGAGCAACATACGATTGTTATAATTCTTCAAAATTATCTTCACATCCTCAAGACTGTCATATATGATTTAACCTATTAGTTTCAGTAAGGCATCTTTATTGACTACTAGCAGTAGAGCTCGGCGTTGCCCGGGGATGTAACAGTAAGAGATAGATCAAGTATCGACCATCATAAAGACTGAAAAATAAAATTGACAAAGATTATTGTTTAAGGTTGACGGACACGCATGTCTTAATTAGTTTTATTTTTTATTTTTTTACGAATTGGTCAAACCCAAACTCAAACAAAAACATTGTTTTCAATCGTTATTAGTCTACCGATTGGATAGAATTTTATTCTAAACAATTGTCTTGTAAATGGAATTTTTAAAGCATTCTGAATGTAAAAATAAAGTAAAAAGTGTGCAAGACAATAGGAAACACTACATGCCAAAAAAAAGTGAAGTTTTGTTGAAATCGGTTGAAAAATGTAGGAAATCCGATCCCATATATAAACGAATACACACACACACACAAACAACCAACCTGGGTTTTATAACTCAATATTAATAAGTATAACTCGATATGAGTTGTCCCCCTTTCATTAATGCCTCTTAATCGTGTTTTCAAATTGATTTCGTGCAAAAACAATTGTGCTTTTCCAATTTTTGGCGCTGTCAGAACCACTGCAAGGTAATTTTACGTAGTCCTGTGAAGTTTTGTTGAAATCGGTTGAAAAATGTAGGAAATCCGATCCAATATATAAACACACACACACACAATCTGCGTTTTATAATAAGTAAGATTCTTTAATCCCTTGCTCTAATAATGTGCGAAAAACTAATGCCTGTCCTCCTCAGTCAAATTCCTTTTCATAGCCCCAGAATTTAGTAATAATTACTATAATTATTTGAAACCTTTAGAAACAAATATTAATTTCGCATAATGTAGGTGTTCAGTTTTCTTTTTTATTTTCTTCTTTTTAAATAATTACTTTACCTAATTCATCAAAAATGATAGCATAAAAATATTTCCATTTATTAATGTTGTACTCTGCTCTTTCATGAAGTCGGGTTTTTTTTTCTCATCTCCATTTATAAATATTTGTACAGTCCGTCATTGTCACATAAAAAACACTGCTACCAAGTTCACTAATGCAAAGGCGATAAACGCTCACACAGAAAAAGTTACAGACATTATAGACAAAAAACACTTGTTTTATTATATAATAAAATTATATATCTAAAATATTTGAAAGATTTTCACTTTTTATTCCAGGGAACGTTGAGTGGAAGACTGGCAAATATTTTACTTCGCTTATGAAGGTGAGTGATTCGAATAATTGTATTCTATATTTTGCAAAAATTTCAAAATTACAATTAAATTAACGAAAAAAAAATAAGGAAACTAAAAATATATAAACTTAGATGGATAAATATTATTTCGCGATTCCTTCTGTAATTTGGATAAAAGTCTAAAACTTGAATTCGTTAATTTTGGTTGCATCCAATCTCTGAAAAAATAGAGTCCTCCTTTCCTAGTGAGTTGAATAACTGCGGTATGCTATAGAAGGGATCGACTGAAGTGGTGTAATAACAACAATAAAATAGACATAAAAATGTGTTCAATAGTCTGTACAATTCTTACCTGGTTTTGTCGTCGAACTTGGCGATAGAATTGTTTTCTTTATTCCGGCCAGCCTTTTTCTCTCAGTACAGCACAGGGCACTTCAGAGAGTTGATCAATCAACTAGGAAAGGTAGAGAAGCATTTTTTTTTATGAGAAATACCCATCTGTGGAAGTCAAACAGATACAGATCCTAATTTTAATCTCACGTTTTGTATTGAGACGAATACACACAACTATTAAAAGGACAGCAGAGTCAAGAATTACATCTCTGTTGGCGTCACTTTGACTTCACGCAGTCTTTGAAGACAACTTATTGTTTGCACACCTGCCTATGAATATTGTTTACCGATTTTTCAGTGCAAGACATTTTCATCTGATCGTCCCTCCCTGCCAATGTAATAATATCGTTGTACAGATCAAGAACGCGAAACAAAAACTCTAATATGTAAAATTATTGTTTATCCAACTCGGGATTTTTAACTTAGGAATTCTCTCCTAAAGTGAATTCTACATTCCCACGAGGATGTAAGAAACTCTTCACACGTTTTTCCTTCTCGTGTGGATGATTATATATCTGCCTGTCATCTATTTTATCGCACGTGTGTACATTTTCGCAATAAAGTGCTCGATATCAGAGAAAGAGCGTTAATAGTATTAATACAGATAAAATTTGTCACTTAACTGATTGATGTTGTATTCATTCAGCACTGTTTTGAAATTGCTATGACTACTGAATTACTGATATCTCCTGACGAGTGAGCAAAACGATTACAAGCGAAATTCCAGAATCGAGGTGCTGAATATAACATCAATCCGCTGACAAATTTTATTTGTATTAAGCCTCTTGAACCAATCGGACGTCCAGCCACACTGAAGAGTTGTGAAACAGCGAAACAGTCTGTCTGTAGTAGATATATATATATATATATATATATATATATATATATATATATATATATATACCTACGCTCGAAGTGCATATTTATTAATATATACTTCTTAGCTCTGTCTAACAGCATTGGGCACAGTTTTGTTTATACCTTACATTAAATTGAGTAAATATTTATTCGCTTACCTGTGTATCCACGCTAACGCACGTATATACGGTTGTTAATATCTAGTTATTTGGTTTATTCACATTAATACACACACACACACACATATATATATATATATATATATATATATATATATATATATATATATATACCTGCTGGGAGTCGATAGTTTAGGGTAAAAATTTCAGACTGATGCCAAATCAATCGGGTTTCGATCCTGGCTTGGGGCAATCGCAGGTCTAATCACACTGATGAACTGTGATACAGCGAAACAGTCTGTGGATGACAAATATATATATATATATATATATGCATGTTTCATTAAAAACGCCAACTCTTAACAATATTAACTATGAACAAAGCCACAATGTGCTAAGCGTATTCGGAAATTAAAAACATCCCTACCACACACTAAGACATACACAGAACGCACACACACAATTAAGCTGAAAAATTGAATCATCCTTGATAATGGCTAAAGGTATTGCCGAAAGCGCTTGGAAATATAAAACATTTGGACAGTTTTTGCACACTCTTTGTCCAGAAAAGAAAGCTCTTGTTCGAACACAAGAAAAATGAAATAAAAAGATTAACCTTAGTACCTTGTCTGTCGTTTTTAATGAAACATGCATAAAGGAAGGATTGCTGCCTAAATATACAACTATATTGTAGCTTTCCATTCCTAAATAAACATTTCTTCTAGTTTTCCATTACTAGATAGTCTTTTATTCTTGCTTTCTATTGCCAGACAGACCTTTCTTCATGCTTTCACTTACTAGCTATTCTTTTCTTGTGGCTTTCCATTACTAGAGATTTTTTTCTTGTAACATTTCATTATTAGATATTTCATTTTTCTTGCTTTTTATTACTTCATGGTCTAACAACAGTGTTACACCTGAGGGAAAAAAGCCTGGATCTTATATATATATATATATATATATATATATATATAGAGAGAGAGAGAGAGAGAGAGATAACAATGATTGGGTAAGGAACAAATAGGAAATGGTTATAAATTAAACGTATATCGCTTTTATTAAAGCTTCATCTAAAAATGAAATTCTTATCGAGATGAAATTTATTATATCACCATATTTATAAAATCTATACTTAAATCAACTAAGATGAATTTGCCTACAACCATTACCGGTGTAACATGAATTTTTTTCACTCCCACACAAAATTTTTTCCAATAAACAAACAAATAAAAATAACCGAATTTGTCTTTGCCCTTCATATTTCATATTTCGTTTTCTGACGAAGCCTTAATAAAATGTTATATTCATAATCGTTTCGTGTTTGTTCCTTATCCAATCATTCAGTTGGATGGTAATCCATATTTGATCTATATTTGATTCCTATTTCTATATATATATATATATATATATATATATACATACACTAATTTTTAACCTTCAAAGAAGGTTCAAGTCATCGAGATGACATCATATTAATGGCATTTTTTTTGTAGCTACTGTAAGATAACACTCTTGTGTCTGGAGGCAAGCCAAGTTTTTTTTCTCCCAACCCTCAACCTGTTGGCGCTCAGCCAGCCAAGTAGAAAAATGTGTGGGTTGATATAATGCTAGGTAGGATTCTTGGTTGACTGGTCGTCAGGTGGGCTGAGATGCGAGTGATTGGTAACCATTCTTCAGTACCAGCCAGTCCTACCAACGGAGTCAACTATTTTAGGACGATTAGAGCAGATTGTACTGTCAAGAGTTCGGTGAGACTTTTCAAGTACTGAATCAACCAACCTTAAAGACAGACAGATCTGAATAGACAGATATGAACAGACATGCCTCAACCACGAAATACATAGCTATGAAGCAACATGAATCTCCACTATCTTTCTCAAGATGTTTACAAG